CACCACGTCCTCCAAGCGCAGCCCCCGCGCTCTCCACCTTCAGGGCCTGGACGCCGGGATCTGTGACCTGGTCTGCCGCCATGCGAGTATAGTCCAGGCCCAACTGGACGGCACCGATGACGACCCTGGAGAGGCAATCAGCAACCAGGTTCGACTTGCCAGCCACGTGCTTAATGTCCGTAGTGAACTCCGATATGTAGGACAGCTGCCGCTGCTGACGTGCCGACCAAGGCTCCGCCACTTTTGACATGGCAAAGGTGAGCGGCTTGTGGTCGACAAACGCCGTAAATTCACGGCCTTCCAGCATGAAACGGAAGTGCCGCACGGCCAAATAAAGTCCGAGGAGCTCCCGGTCAAAGGCGCTGTATTTGCGTTCTCTAGGCGTCAGCTGGCGGCTGAAAAAGGCGAGCGGCTGCCAAGCGCCCTCCACCCACTGCTCGTGCACTGCGCCGACCGCGTAGTCTGACGCGTCCGTGGTGATGGAGATGGGAGCCGTAGATGATGGGTGTGCCAGCAAAAGCCGCCTGAGCCAACGCGGTCTTGACCTCAGCAAAAGCGCCGTCCGCCTCTGCTGTCCAGTCGATCTCCTGGACGGGGGTCTTGCCTTTCAACGCTTCATACAGCGGCCGCATGATGTGTGCGGCCCGGGCGATGAAACGGTGGTAGAAAGTCACCATCCCCAGAAACTCACGGAGCGACCGGGCTGTGAGCGGGCGAGGAAACGCCGCAACAGCCTCCACCTTCGCTGGCAGATGTGTCGCACCGCCCTTGGTGACGCGGTGCCCCAGGAAATCGATGTCCGACACCCCGAACTGGCACTTTGCAGGATTGATGATTAATCCGTGTTCGTTGAGCCGTGTGAAAAGGGCTCGGAGGTGGGACAGGTGCTCCTGCACTGAAGCGCTGGCGACGAGTATGTCGTCGAGGTAAACAAACACAAACGGCAGGTCCCGCAGCACCGAATCCATCAGGCGCTGGAACGTCTGAGCGGCATTCTTGAGTCCAAAAGGCATCCGCAGGAACTCAAAAAGTCCAAAAGGCGTTATCACTGCTGTCTTGGGAATGTCCAGGGGGTGCATGGGCACCTGGTGGTATCCACGCACCAGGTCCACCTTGGAAAACACCCCCGTACCGGCCAGATGCGCCGAAAAGTCCTGAATGTGCGGCACCGGATAGCGGTCAGGCGTAGTGGCGTCGTTGAGTCGGCGGTAATCCCCGCACGGGCGGAAACCCGCCGTTCGATTTGGGAACGACGTGCAGGGGGGAAGCCCAAGGACTGTCGGAGCGGCGGACAATGCCCAGGCGCTCCATGGTTGCGAACTCCGCCCTCGCTACAGCCAGCTTAGAAGGGTTCAACCGCCGGGCCCTGGCGTAGACAGGAGGCCCTCCGGTAGTGACGTGGTGTTCCATGCCATGCTTAGTGGTAAGCGCAGAGAAGGTGGGTAGCGACAGGTCTGGAAACTCGGCCAACAGTCTGAGAAACGTGTCTGCACCTGACAGCGAGCCTGACAGCCCGTCGTACGCTGCGCTGCCAAGTGTGCACACGAGGGAAGAAAACGTTAAGGCATCAACCAAACGCCTATTCTTAACGTCCACTAAGAGTCCATGAGCACACAAAAAATCCGCTCCGAGGAGGGGAAAAGAAATGTCCGCTGTCACAAAATCCCAGCTGAAACGCTGTGCTCCGATGCACAAACACATAGGCCTCACGCCGTACGTGCGAATGGGACTGCCGTTAGCCGCCGTCAATCGCGGTCCGTGCCCCCCACGGGCGACGTCTTCACTCGACGCTGGAACTACGCTCCGTTGAGCGCCCGTGTCACACAGAAACAGGCTCCCCGAAACGCTGTCGCTGACGAAGAGGAGCCTGCACGTGCCGCCGACGCTCAGAGCCACTACTGAGCGCCGGCCCCTCCATTTCCCGGGGGTTTGTAGCTGCACGGAGCGATGCATCTCTTCGCCCTTGTCCCGAAACGTGCGTGGTAAACGCACTCTCCGGCGTCTCCACGCCGGCTAGCCACAGCCGTGTCCGGCCTCCGCCACGCTTTCTTGACTGCCGGTGGGCCGCTGAGCGTCGCGGCTAACGTCTCTGCCCCGGGCTGTTGCGTAGCCAGGAAAAACGATCCGCTTCCTCAGCCAAAGCACGGGGCTCCGTGACAGGCGTGTTGGCCAGCGCCGTCTGTACCCGGGGAGGCAAGTGACGCAGGAAAATCTCCGTGAATAAAATACGGGGATCTTCCCCCCCTAGCAGATTTAGCATTTTCTCCATTAGCTGGGATGGCTTGCTGTCTCCTAGGCCTTGAATGTCAAGTATCTGGCGGGCCCTCTCCTTAGCAGATAAGCTAAATGTCTTAAGGAGAAGGGCCTTAATCGCCTCATATTTGCCATGATGTGGGGGGGCTGCGATGAATCCCACCAACCTGGACGACGTGGAGCTCCCCAGCGCTGCTACCACATGGTAGTATTTTAGGTCCCCGTCACGGACCTGTCGGCAGGCGAAATGTGCCTCCACGTGTGCGAACCATGCCTCCGCGGTGTGCTCCCAGAATTCCGGCAGCTTTATGAAAACATCGCGCTCAGCCATGTTCGTTAATTTTCCGGAAACTTTCTCGGAAAAGTCAGGGTCACCAGTGTAGTGCCGTGAAAAGAGAGTCGGAGGCGGTGTATTAAGAATGGAGTTCCAATCTTTATTATCCATTACTTTCAGAGAGGTTAACACATGCACTGCTCTGCCTGATGAGCTAGCAGGAATGGCAGCTAAAGCTACAGGTGTTCCCCACTAAAGGGTCCGTGTGGCAACACAATAAGCAAGGTGAATTATGTCCAATAACGTGTCACCACAATACCAACATTCCAATTACTGTATCTAGACTATTCTGCACAGTTTCTATCATATTCTGTTTCTATTATATTCTATTTTATTTTATTTACTTGTATTATTGTATCTGTTCATCTGTTGCTCTGTTGGAGGAGCCTGTGAGCTCAGATTTTCATTGTCAAAACTGCACTGTAGCTGCTGCACTGTAGCTGCTGCACTGTAGCTGCACATACAGTATTATGACAATAAAACTAGGGCTGTCAAACGATTACAATTTTTAATCAGATTAATCACAGCTTAAAAATTCATTAATCATGATTAATCACCATTCGAACTATGTTTAAAATATGCCATTTATTTATGCATATTGTTGTGGGAATGGAAAGATAAATGAAAGAAGGCGGATATATCCATTTAACATACAGTATCTATGTTTATTATAACATTTGTCTGCGTGTCAAAATGAAAGACAACCCACACACCTATCAATCATCAAACCGTGGGGTCTTAATTCATTACGTGTTGATTTCTATCAACGGGGGAGTACTTCAGGAAAGTCGACAGAGGGGGGGCGGCGGCTAGTGGAGTACTTCGTGACCACAGAGTGTGAACGTTGTGATCAGCTGTTTTAGCGCAGTTCTCCAGTGAAGGGGGGGGAGTCTCCCTCCGCAGCCGGTTGGCGTAGTTTTGGCACAATTCCGTTGTACAGACCGACGTTAACAGCAGCCCTGTCTGTGCACACGGAGACCGACTCTGTCGTCCGGTGATCTAACCGCCTTCTGGAAAAGCTTCACAAGTACGTCGGTACGCAAATGCGCTTTGTGACACAAGTGACGGTACGCATTTCAGATTACGCACATAACCTGCGTACCAGTTATGTGCACCCCTGTACTACAGCAAAAGTATTCTCCGTCTGGACTTCCTGCAACAACACCACGCCGTTATCAAAAATGTTCTATTGAGAAGACGATCACTACGTGACAAAAGTTTTCAAAACCGTGGCTACTGAAATCAATCTTACTAACTGCTGTATGTGCAATTTGAATTTACTACGCGCGAGTTGGCAGATTTTATTTTGCTTACTTTAACATCATTTTTCATGGTGGGGCTAAGCCATTTCTTGGTATGGGTGTAGCCTACCCCAGCCATACCCTGGCGCTGCCACTGGTGGCACGTATGGGGCGGGCCATTCTGCACGTGCGTTAAATGCGTTAAATATTTTAACGCAATTAATTCAAAAAATTAATTACCGCCGTTAACGCGATAATTTTGACAGCACTAAATAAAACCCTTGAACCCTTGAAACCTTGAACCCTTGAAACCTTGAATGACCAAGCCGACTGTTTGTTTTGTTGTTGTAATGTATCGTATGTCATGATCTGCACAACTGTAATGTGACACTGTCAATTCCAACTGCTCCGTCATTCCTGTCCATTTGTGTTTGACACTCAATAAACAAAGTTCATAATAAAAAGCTTGACGCTATTGAGTCAGTTAATTGAATATTGATGATAGCTGCTTTAGAAAGTGTCTCATCAGCTGCATGTTAGTGGTGTTCTGAAATGCCTCCACGCTCCTCGTCTCAAACACACCCACATTAAATAAACGGTAAATTAATCAATCTGAGCTCAAAGAATTGTCTTGATGCCATCAAACAATTACCAACAACTACAAGCAGTCTCAATCAATTAAAACATGTGATCGCTTTAATCACATTGATAATCTGTGTTTAAACTAAACGTTAGTATTTTAGAACAGACTTGTATTCAGGGATAGTGATTGATATCTTCTCTCGTACCTGCTCACATCGTTAGTAAGCAGCTCAGCAGCTGCAGTGCAAATTGCTCTTCATCCCTGACATCGCTCAGCGGTGATGTAGGCTTGCATTTCTCAATAACAACAATTTGAATACATAAATGGACATGTCTTTATGATGTCAGTCTTTATAGAGCCTTCATTATGAATTGTTTTTAAGTTGAAAGATAAACTCAGACAATAGTCGACAGCAATATCTCCTATTTCTCCGGTAAATAAAAATGTACGAACTTGTTTCTTTTGACTCATTAAGGTTTCTAGATGAATTACGAGCGCTCTATTGTTTAACTGGACAGCCCTAACAATTATATTTTAATTCAGTAGTGAAATCAATACACTTCACTCTGTTCAACTGCTCCTCTCTCACCTCTCTGTCTGTCTTCACTTCCTGTTCCACATCGGAGTCACCTGATGGAGAGAAGAGGTGACACAGAAAGATAATAATACAACTTGAACAAAGAGAAACATTGGCAGCCAAATTGATTGAATAGAGCTGTAACAAAATGGAACTAAAATATATTGTTGTTGTGCTATAAAGAACTTTGAAGATCAGGTTTAATGTACAATGTCTGGATGAATGGAGGACATGGTTTCAGTACTCACAGGTCTTCTGGATCTTGGCTCTGATCGTCTCTCCATTGATCCTGTAGAGATGAACACAATCCAACAGTTTTAGATCAGGTTTAAAATAAGTGTTTGTTGTTTGAGTCAGCTTCAGAGTCCTGGGGCCTATACTATGAAGCTGGTTCAACCTAACCTGGATATGTTTGAGTTATCCGGTTGGCCTAATCCAAAACATACACGCTCTCGCTAAACTGTCCTACGACGCTGGTTATCAAGTGGATCGCTCAAGCCAGCCGTGTCCTATCTAGTTAGGTGCGCGTTCACATGAAAGGGGTGGTATCTGGAGCATTCGACCAATCACAAACATGGAGAAGCGTACTGACAGCGCAGCGTCATACTTCCTGAATGAAAAGTGAACTTTAATATTAGTCAAAAATGAAGAAGTTCAACTTTAAACATCCATGACTTAAACACTTTATCCAGGATCAAAGCCACAGAGCTGCACCTGCAAGGTGAATACAGCTGGTAACAGAAAAAGTGTTTGAATGCGTACATTAACAGGTTTATGATATCACTGCCCCGTCTAAAACACCATCTGACTTTAATTACATTTGTCTCGAGTGTTTCGTCAACTTAATGTGTTGCTTAAAATAATACTTCTGCATACAGTATGTGACACTGAGTGTTGCACGGCCAGATACGGCTCAGCTGACTCAGATCAGGAAATATATGATACATTATGAAGTGATATGCCGCGGACTGTACTTAATGTTACTCTGATCCGGTTACTTATGTTGTGGCATATATTTAAGTAAGCTTTCTTAACGCTAATGTTATAATAGTCAGATTGCTCTGAAGATGGAGGTGATATTCTATTGATGTTCACGTTCACACAGTCGGTGATTTTTGCCGGCCGTCTTTCCTGCGACGGCAGCTTTTCTGTATTTCCTTTCTCCTGTAATATGACTTGATCGCTTTAAACTCTGCACACTGAGCTCTGATTGGTCAGCAGGCAGTGCTTTCACTGAGTTGAGCTCTTAGCCTGCAACCTAACCTGGTCCCGACCAGGTTAGCCGCTAAGCATCAGTTACCATGGAGATCTAGCCCGCTAAAAAGAGAACCAGCTTCGTAGGACCGGAAAGCCGGAGTTTTCCCTGAATTTAGCCGGCTAAGTAAAAATTTAAGACAATACGTCACTGACAACAACATAGACACAGATCAAAACAAACAGACATAAGAAAACCAGATATCGGCAGACATGACAAGGAGCCGATACGCCGATAGGATCATGGAGCAGAGACTAAATTGCTTGTCAAAATACCGGTTACCGGCCGGCCCACATCGTCCGACCGGCCCACTTCAGTACCGGCCCATCGGGATTCGTCCCGATGGCCAGTCCGCCCCTGGTTAAGATGCTCAGTGAGGATCAGAGTGATATCAGCCTGATGTCTGCAGCTCAGAGTCAACACAACTCTCTTCATCTCATTACATTACATTACATTACATTGCATTTAGCTGACGCTTTTGTCCAAAGCGACTTACAATAAGTACATTCGACCAGGAAGACACAACCTTGAAGAAAACAGAATCATATAAGTATATCAGGTTTCATAGAGCCAAACATTTCAAGTGCTACTCTACTGGCTTTAGATAAGCCAGTCCTTTATTAGTATAAAAGTGCTTCGTTAATAGTTCTATTGCTCGAAGTGGAGTCGAAAGAGATGAGTTTTCAGTTTGCGCCGGAAGATGTGCAAGCTATCTGCTGTCCTGATGTCAATGGGGAGCTCATTCCACCATCTTGGAGCCAGGATAGCAAACCCACGTGTTTTCGCCGATGGGAACTTGGGTCCCCCTCGCAGCGAGGGCGCAACGAGTCGTTTGGCTGATGCAGAGCGTAGTGCACGCGCTGGGGTGTACGGTTTAACCATGTCCTGGATGTAGGAAGGGCCAGATCCATTTGCAGCACGGTAAGCAAGTACCAGTGTCTTGAAGTGGATTCTAGCAGTTACCGGAAGCCAGTGAAGGGAGCGGAGGAGCAGAGTGGTGTGGGAGAATTTAGGAAGGTTGAAAACCAGACGAGCCGCTGCATTCTGGATGAGCTGCAGAGGTCGGATGGCACATGCAGGTAGACCAGCCAGGAGGGAGTTGCAGTAGTCTAGGCGTGAGATGACGAGAGCCTGGACCAGAACCTGAGTCGCTTTCTGAGTCAGCTGGGGACGTATCTTCCTGATGTTGTAAAGCGTGTATCTGCAGCAGCGGGTTGTAGCAGCGATGTTTGCAGTGAAGGACAGGTTGTTATCTAGGGTCACACCCAGATTCCTTGCAGTCTGAGTCGGGAGGAAACAACTGAGGTGCCGATGTTGATTGTCAGGTCAAGAGTTGGACAATCTTTTCCCGGGAGGAAGAGCAGCTCAGTCTTGTCAAGGTTGAGCTTGAGGTGGTGAGCAGACATCCACTGAGAGATGTCAGCTAGACAAGCAGAGATGCGTGCGACGACCTGGGTCTCTGAGCGGGGAAAGGACAGAATTAATTGGGTGTCGTCAGCGTAGCAGTGGTAAGAAAAACCATGCGGGCTAATGACTGATCCGAGCGAGTTTGTGTACAAGGAGAAGAGGAGGGGACCAAGAACAGAGCCCTGAGGGACCCCCGTAGTTAATTGACAAGGGTCGGACTCAGACCCTCTCCAAGTCACCCTGTAGGTACGGTCTTTCAGGTATGAGGTGAGGAGGGAAAGTGCAGAGCCTGAAACTCCAAGTTTTTGGAGAGTGCGAAGGAGGATCTGATGATTCACCGTGTCGAATGCAGCAGACAGGTCCAACAGGATGATGACAGAGGAGAGGGATGCAGTTTTGGCAGTGTGCAGTTCCTCCGTGACAGCAATGAGAGCAGTTTCTGTGGAGTGACCTGCCTTGAAACCAGACTGGTGCGGATCCAGAAGGTTGTTCTGATTGAGATAACAGGAGAGTTGTTTAAAGACAGCGCGTTCAAGTGATTTAGACAGGAACGGGAGGAGAGAGACAGGCCTGTAGTTTATAACATCAGACGGGTTGAGAGTGGGTTTCTTTAGGAGAGGGTTTACTCTTGCCTCCTTGAGACTGTTTGGAAAGTGACCAGAAGTTAGAGAAGTGTTGATGAAATGGGTGAGAAACGGTAGAATATCAGGAGCGATAGTCTGAAGGAGGTTTGAAGGGATAGGGTCCAGAGGACAGGTGGTAGGGCGGGCAGAGGTAATGAGGGTAAGAACCTCACTTGGAGAGAGAGGGGAAAAGGAGGTTAGTGTGTTGGTGGAAGGAAGGTCTGGTGACCCAGCGGTGAGTAAAGGTGAGTCAGAAAAAGAAGAGCGAATATCATTAACCTTTTTTTCAAAGTGGGTAACAAAGTCGCTTGACAGAAGTGAGGAGGGGGGAGGAGCTTTTGGAGGGTCCAAGAGGGTGGAGAAGATGGAAAATAGTTTTTTAGGATTGGAATAGGAAGATTGGATCTTATCTTGAAAGAAAGTGCTTTTTGCCTGAGAGATCGAAGCAGAGAAAGAGGAGAGGAGAGCTTGATAGGTTAGGAGGTCGTCACGGTGTTTGGATTTCCACCATTTCCGCTCTGCTGCCCTAAGGACGGTTGTATTAGCACGCAGTGCATCATTTAGCCAGGGAGCCGGAGGGGACTGACGAGCCTGCCGAGATGTCAGAGGACAGAGAGAGTCCAGAGTGGATGAGAGAGTAGAGAGGAGAGTTTCTGCAGCAGAGTTTGGAGGCAGTAGTTGGAACGAATCAGAGGAAGGGAGGGCTGAGAGCACCGACGAGGCAAAGGTAGAGGGGGAGAGGGAGCGAAGGTTACGGCGGACAAGTGTAGGATGGGAAGAGATTAGTTTGTTATGTTTGGAAAGGGATAGAGAGAATGAAATGAAGAAGTGATTGGATGTGTGGAGCGGGTTTACAGAGAGGTTAGAAGTAGCGCAGTTCCTTGAGAATATGAGATCAAGGACATTGCCAGCTTTATGAGTCGGTGGGGACGGAGAGAGTGAGAAAGCAAAGGCGGTTAACAGAGATGTTAGTTCGTCTATCTTCCCCATCTGGAGGTTGAAGTCTCCGAGAAGTACAGCGGGAGGGCCAGTTTCAGGGATGTGTGAGAGGAGATTATCTAATTCCTCCAAGAAGTCCCCCAAGGCGCCAGGTGGACGGTAGAGAACAACAATGGTTAACTGTATAGGATGGGTTACTGTGACGGCATGGAACTCAAAGGTGGAAGGAGTAAAGTTAGGTAGCTTGAAGAGGGAAAAGCTCCATTTGGGAGAGAGCAGGAGACCAGTGCCACCTCCTCTGCCAGTGGGTCTGGGTGTATGGGAGAAGGAATATGCAGTGGAGAGAGCTGCTGGGGTGGATGTGTTGGATGGAGTAATCCAGGTCTCAGTGAGAGCAAGGAAATCCAGAGACTGCAGGGAGGCGTAGCCAGAGATGAAGTCAGCCTTAGGAACAGCTGACTGGCAGTTCCACAGGCCACCTGAAACTAGATGTTGGATCTCAGTGGAGCACGTGGGATAGACGAGAGCAGGCCGGTTATATCGATTACGAGATCCACGGGGCCAGTGATAATTGCGAGAAGACACATGAACAGGAATGGAGAAAGCAGCACAGAAGTTACAGATGGAGAACTGACCTGAGAGTCTCCAGTCTGCAGTCTGGACTCTCCAGAAGATCTCTCAGCAGCTTCACTCCTGAATCCTGCAGAGCGTTGTAACTCAGGTCCAGATGTCTCAGATGGAGGTTGGACTTCAGAGCTGAGATCAGAGCAGAACAGCTGATCTCTGACAAACTGCAGAACTCCAGTCTGAATAAAGAGAACATGATGTAACTTTAGAAAACAATGTTCCTGCTTGAAATAACTCCAGGTTTAATAATCTGATCAGAGCTGAAGAAGTTCAGAAAGTGGAAACTCCAACAGGTTAAAAACTGTGAGACACAGAAAGAGGAAAAGAGCTCTCATTCACATTAAAGACAACGTGCAGCTACTTCAGTGTAAACTATTCAGTCAGTGTCAGCATCATGTAGATCCAGGAACACGTTGGAAACAGCAACAACTGAAAATACTTCTTGGTGGTTGATAGTTTCAACAGAAATATAAAACAATTCTACTCATGTATTTTTTTATAATTCATTTTCTAAAAGCAGGATGGAGAATATAAGATGAATCTCAGGTGTTCAGAGGTTCAGAGTGAATCATGCAGTGTAGGGTTGTTCTTGTTATTTTAATCCAAAGATCATCAGTGCTCTGCCAGTCAGTGAACTACACTTGTTGTAGTTTGTTGTTGTTTAGCCTTTCTGAGGCTAGTACATGGTCACATGTTGTTGTTGTTGTTGTTGTTGTTGTTGTTGTTGTTGTTGTTATTATGTACACATTAATGTCACATCCCTGCAGCAGAAACATCCTGACAGCTTAGTTTGTCTTCAAAGGAAAGATGTTTATAACATGAGTGCAGGGCTGAGGCTTTACAAGCATTCTAACTGAAGCAGAGCAGGACACCAACCATATGAACAAAGGGCTGAGACTGTAGGGCAGGGGTACTCAAATACAAATCTTAAAGGTCCAAAATAAATGTTTCAATAAGACAAAGGTCCGTTTATTACGGTCATTCAAACTTTTAAACAATTGCAACAAGATTCTTAACACGAGGTTGCAAAAACAAAAATAATCTGTATGCAGCCGTTTTCATTGTTATTGTGTCTGTGCTTGACCCTCAGAGTCGCAGTGTAAGAGCTGCACAGTTATGAATAAAGGCAGCTGCACCCTCTTTCATTCAGCATTCCCATTATTGCTTTATAAATGTCTTGCCCCCTTGTGTGTCCACTGAGGTTCGTCAGGCCCAACACATCTTCAACAAACTCCCCCTTTGCCTCATCATAACAACTCACAAACACCAGCAACTGAGCATTGTCAGTGGTGTCAGTGGACTCACCCACAGCTAAGGAAATGCACTGTGCATTTTTCATTCCATCACAAAGCTGATGAATCAAATCACCAGCCAGTATTTATGTTCTTCTGGTTGCTGTGGAATCTGAGAGGGGGATTTGCTTGATTTGACCTGTTATTTCCTCTTTGTGTTTGCCTTCAACATGGTCTCCATCACTTCAGTCATGCATTCTTTTATACTGCAGTTATTATCCAGTGGAAAGTCCTTACCTGCTGGCCTAGTTCAATCAAAGTGGTTACTTTTTTTTGGCTGGGCAGTGTAGTTTTACACACCGTCTGATTTGACTTTCTCAGGACTTAAAACAGTTTTTTGGGGGCAGACCCCCTCAAAGAAAACAATATATTTACACACGTAAGGTCATCATCTTAATAGTTGTGTATGCTCATCCGTGAGCAGAGCATCAAGTTGACATGTCTATTACAGCTGAATGCGGCGATTACCATTTTGTTCAGCAAAACGCCTCACAAACGTATTAAGATCAACAGCTTCAGTGCGTTTTGATTCAATGCTGAGTACAGCCACACTGACAGTCTCTTCTCTGTCAGACCGCAAACACCTCATTCCTTCAGTGCTTGGGTCCGAATGCTTCTCGTTTTGCGCCGTCCAGTTCAAAATGAAATCGCCGCCAATCGTATGTCCACGCTCGCGCCAGGACCGGGGGAGGGGTTACATGACGTGCATCTTGTGCCTGCATTCACTTGCACTCGGACATTAGAGACTTTCTCTCATAAATGTCCGATGAGCCACAACTTTTCTTTCAAAACAAAGCTGCCAACTGGGGTGGCAAGGCCTATTTGTAGGGTGTCAGTTGCCACCCCGGTAGGTGAAACTAGGCTACTAGCTACAGTACAGATGGAACTAGATGAGCTGTTAACTCTCGCTCTGAATTTTTTTTTTTTAATTCTCGCTCTGACTTAGACAGGTTGAAAGACACACACACATTTTTCCCACCCGCAGTCCGCGAAGACCCGCCCTACTGTGCCTCTGATTCGCAGATTGTTTGGGGGGGAAACGCTGACTGGATGCTGAATGTGATTGGACCAAAGCGTTGACACACACAGGTGGAACACAGTGGAACAGTCAGACATGCAGAGCGCTGTTTGCAGTGGACATAGCGGAGAATTTTGACTCGTTGCGAATGCGTTGTGGCGATGTCTCACATATAATACAGAGAGATAATACATATGAAAAGTATAATTTGCTCAGAGTCCGGAGACAGTGGTGGTTCGGTCCGGATCCGGACCGGAGTCCGTAGTTTGAGGATGCCTGCTGTAGAGCATGGGTCGGCAACAGGTGGCCCGCGGGCCATTGTTGGCCCGCCAGCAATAATATTTGGCCCCTAATTTTGAGAATCAAAAATAAAATATTATTTTGAGATGTTTTTTTTTTTTTTTACAACATAGGACCGACAGTCGCACATCAGGGTTTCCATTAGCGGCAGATAGATCGGCCGCCGGTCATTATCGGCCGATATTCACTCTTAATAATTTGATCGGTGCTCTCTATAAAGCCCGATCAGGAGAGCTGGATCTGATCGATATGGACATAAACGCGAGTGAAATATAACCGGACGCGAGAGAGAGATCAGATCAGCTGCTGAGTCTGACGGAGACACGCAGCTCTGCATAATCACCTGAAGCCCCGCCCACTGTTTAGCGAGCTGCATGAGAAACTAACGGGCTGTCAGAGAGAGAGGGAGGGAGAGAGGAAAAGAGAGCATCCGTTTCTCCCGTGCTATTATTCAAAGTTAATTTAAACTTTTGAATAATGTACTTCATCTACTACAAGTAGTTTGTTTGAATGTAATACTTATGTTGTTTGTTGTTTGTGGAATCATTTATTGAAAAATGAATCTGAATGTTTTGATCTGTAACGATTATAAACTGAAGCAATATAAAAATGAGCCCCATTAACTGAGTTTTAAACATCAGCATATCCGGTCATAGTCCGGTGATTACCTGCTAACGGAAACTCTGCTACACAATTCTTATTATTATTATTGAAACATGACCGGTGAGTTTCAAATTTGTCCGGTAAAATAAATTCTGTCCCGAAATATCCGTTTACATTCATAATGTCAGCGGAGGGAGGGAGGCGGCGCTGTGGAAGAGCAGAGTGGCGAGGGAGAGCTGTCATCTTCCCTTTACGAGCTTCAAACATGTATTTATCGTGTGATTTTGGAAATAAAAGTTCCATATTCTGAAAGCCAAGACTTTGTTTATTTAAAATCAAATAAAACACCCGATCCCGAAAAACTATTTTTTTACGCAAATCCACGTTTATTTTGAAATGAGCCGTTGCGACTTTCGACTGATTTCGATAGAGCGGGTCACATATGGCAAATGTGTGGTTGTGGGGAACCAGGTCAATTAAAGTACTTATTTAACTATTAAATACATTGAGTGTGAGTAAAATACTTGGTTACTGATTAATTTAGGTTATAATATATTAAATTGCAAAGCAAAACTGCTGTAATTGATTTATTTTGTCCTTTGATATTTTTTAAAGGTTTTCAACCTGAAAGAATCCTAATGTGTCCTTGAAAAGTTGAAATAAAGAAAAGGAAAAAGGATTCCAGTTGTCCATGCGTCCTCTGTTGCCCCTCAAGCCTCTCAAATGTGCAAACACTCAAATAAATGCCAAAAACCCAGAGAACTTGACAATAGGCTACTTATCAGAATAAAAGTATGTTAAATAACACTGCTACCTGTTAATAACTCTACTTTACTCAGTGGAGGCTCGTCCATTGAGGAAAGGGAGGACCATCCTCCCTACAATTTCAGAGAAAAATAAACTTTGAAGAGAACAATAAATACACCTCAATTTAAAAGATAAGTCTGTTAAAATACAGATAATAGCCCTGGCTTTGGGACTGAAATGGGGCTAGAGAGGACGAGCCTGGGCGGGTCTAGCCAGAGGCTCTGGATTGGGCGAACCGGGGCGCTGCGCCCTCTTACCAAAATCAATTCCTTGAATTAGGCTTTGATTATGTTCTGGCCCGCCATCTTGCGGCTCAGCAAAAAATTGGCCCACGGCCAAACTTACTTGCCTACCCCTGCTGTAGAGGGTTAAGATGCTCAGTGAGGATCAGAGTGATATCAGCCTGATGTCTGCAGCTCAGAGTCAACACAACTCTCTTCATCTCAGCACAGAAGTTACAGATGGAGAACTGACCCGAGAGTCTCCAGTCTGCAGTCTGGACTCTCCAGAAGATCTCTCAGCAGCTTCACTCCTGAATCCTTCAGAGCGTTGTAACTCAGGTTCAGATGTCTCAGGTGGGAGGGGTTGGACTTCAGAGCAGAGATCAGAGCAGAACAGCCGATCTCTGACAACCTGCAGCCCCTCAGTCTGAATAAAGAGAACATGATGTAACTTTAGAAAACAATGTTCCTGTTTGAAATAACTCCAGGTTTAATAATCTGATCAGAGCTGAAGGAGTTCAGAAAGTGGAAACTCCAACAGGTTAAAAACTGTGAGACACAGAAAGAGGAAAAGAGCTCTCATTCACATTAAAGACAACGTGCAGCTACTTCAGTGTAAACTATTCAGTCAGTGTCAGCATCATGTAGATCCAGGAACACGTTGGAAACAGCAACAACTGAAAATACTTCTTGGTGGTTGATAGTTTTAACAGAAATATAAAACAATTCTACTCATGTATTTTTTTATAATTCATTTTCTAAAAGCAGGATGGAGAATATAAGATGAATCTCAGGTGTTCAGAGGTTCAGAGTGAATCATGCAGTGTAGGGTTGTTCTTGTTATTTTAATCTAAAGATCATCAGTGCTCTGCCAGTCAGTGAACTACACTTGTTGTAGTTTGTTGTTGTTTAGCCTTTCTGAGGCTAGTACATGGTCACATGTTGTTGTTGTTGTTGTTGTTGTTGTTATTATGTATACATTAATGTCACATCCCTGCAGCAGAAACATCCTGACAGCTTAGTTTGTCTTCAAAGGAAAGATGTTTATAACATGAGTGCAGGGCTGAGGCTTTACAAGCATTCTAACTGAAGCAGAGCAGGACACCAACCATATGAACAAAGGGCTGAGGCTGGAGAGGGTTAAGATCAGGGGCGGACTGGGACTACAAATCAGCCCGGGACTCTCGACCGGCCCACTTCGGTACCGCCGGCCCACCGCGGTACCGCAAGTAAATACCGCTAGTAAATTGTCGACATGGGGGGGGGGGGGGTGCTAGTGACTTGCCGCAGAGGTAGACATTAAGGGTAGAATGGACTTGTATTGTCACTGGCCCCACCATTGTAACCTCTGGCCCGGAGCATTCGTCCAAAACAAAATCGACTAATAATGAAGAAAATTAACACATTTGTTGCAGTAGTAATTTATGTACACACTACATTACTACATACTACAACATTTGAACAATCCGTTGTTCCTCATTTTCCTCAATTGTTCATATTTGGTTTATTAAAATAATGATATTGTGGTCATTGTTAAAAAATGTCTGCTATTATTATGAGTATTATTATTTGTATAATGCGCTTTCTGCCTTCCTGTCATTAGGAGTTAGAAATGTAATGGCTATAGATTAGATTAGAACCTTCTTTATCCTAAACTGCTGGGACATTTCCCTATAGCCAATACCTTTATATTTTCTACTCTTCACTTACTGGTCAGCATAGGTCGGCATTGATGTACAGAGCCGACAGAAGACCTTGTTTATATTGGCATCATATTGAGAGGTGCAGCCAGTGACGCGTCCTAAAACCAGGAAGTAAGCTGCTGGTTCCCTCGACAGAAAGCAATGGGATTTCTCCACAGGGTTTTGGAAAATAGCTGGAAATAAGGTCTGTGGAAAACAAACCTGTTAAATAAATGCACGTTTTGTTCAGCCGGATAATCTCCACATGTCTCCTACTTTTATAATTTTCAAATCATAAATCTAATCGATAGATTATAAAAAGGGTTTTAGGATGCGTCACTGCACCACGCTATAGAAGCCAACTCCATCGATCAAGCTGGCTGAAACTTTCTCTCCCTCTTCTTCTCATGCTCCCTGTCACTCTCCTTTAACTCCTCCGGTGACTTTCTTTTATTTGAAGATTGTTTTTTGCCCGGCGCTTGGTCGGCTACCGCTGGTATTAAAAACATTTTGGCGAATGGTTAGGTGGCGCGATAGTCTGTAGTGAAGGAGCGCGCTCCCGCTCACGGGTATGGGCTCAGAACAGTCTCATAATACACACATGCACACAGAAGGATCCACACTTGTGTTTTTCAATGCACACAAATGTGTTCCGTTTCATATTCATGTAAATAAAATCCAAATACAGAAAAAAGTTTTACATATGTGTTTTTGATCCTCACATATTTGTTTTCCGTTTAAATCCTCTGCACCTGGAAACACAAACCGCTCTCTGTGCACGGATCGCTGTGCATTCGTGTGTGACTGCGCAAAATGCGTACATGAAGCGCTACGTCATGAACGCAAGAAATCTACCCTCGTGGGGGCGCGCTCATGTGATTGGCTTAGAATGAAGGAGACATCTGATTGGCTATAGATAGAACAAATTACAAGTATGAATCGGCTGACCGTCAGGGGAGTCTCAAAAAACCCACACACGAATGCACAGCGATCCGTGCACAGAGAGCGGGTTGTGTTTGCAGGTTCAGAGGATTTAAACGGAAAACTAATATGTGAGGATCAAAAATACACATGTAAGACTTTTTTCTGTATTTGGATTTTATTTACATGAATATGAAACGGAACACATTTGTGTGCATTGAAAAACACAAGTGTGGATGTGTGTATTATGAGACTGTTCTGAGCCCATACGCGGGAGCCTGCTCGCTTTCTGAGGCTATTACATGGTCACATGGTGTTATTATTATTTATACATTAATGTACCATCCCTGCAGCAGAAACATTTATTTTACATCATGGCGATCTGGAATGAAGAAACTGAAGACCAACTCAGTTGCCACGTAATTTGCTGCCACACTTCCTGCATGAGGTGACAATAGCTTCTTCAAGTATGTACCGGACAGGACCCTGGAAAATGAAACCTCAACAGACAGTTCACTCATTTGTAACAATGTCATCATTTGCCCGTCAGTGTTATGATGTTGAATATTAATATCATCTTGGGTTATAATTACTGATGCATGGAATGTGGTAGCAGCCGTACTTCAAGGCTGCCAGCCACAATGCTTACATCGTTTATTTCTGCATCAGAGAGCTGATGTTTGAACATATCACGTCTGAAACTCGACCAACAACCAATCACATGAATCTCCCGCCCCTGACACACAAGCAGCGTTTTGATTGGCTAGAGCTTGTTCTGGCATACGATTCGATTGGCTGACGTTCTGCCGAGGCTTCAAAAGTTGCACATTGCTCAACTTTTGCAGCGAGCCACGCCAGCAACGCTCCGCTTCGCTTCCCACAATGCAGTTTGGCGGAAAGTGACGTCACCCCATTCAAAGTGAATGGTGAAGCTTTCAACGCACGCCGCCGTGTGGACGGGCCGTTCCGGTTGCCTCTTTTGAATGACGAATACACATTTCCGTCAGTTTGGTGTGTCAGGGCCTTTACACTCCTGCAGCGAGTAAACAGTCACATCTTATCTGGATAAGTGCTGCAAAGTGCAGAATACCGTTTTGATAAGGGATACATGTGTGTAGTCTTTAATATTAAACATGATCGCTGGTAGAGATAGCCACAGAACAGAAGTCGTGTCACAGCTTATCCTGGGCGGATCACAGCTCCACAGCTGAAGACTTCTCCACGCTGCTTTCAAACTGTGAGTAAACACCGTGTGCTTCACTTGGAGGCTGTCTGAAGGTGTACACAGGTCTCAGATGGACTTGGCATCACATTAGGAACGATATTCAGTAATAAGTCTGGCAACAATAACTGGTTTAAATGATTTATTCAAGCGTGCAATGTTTTGAACAGACATCCCCAGTCACCTCGTGTGTCTTTTTGTAGTCCTAACTGTATGCGTCCGGATATCGGCATCGCAACCACAACCTCACACACTGGTACTGAAAGTGCATCAAAGTGTTCCTATGGAGCCAAATATACCAACAGATGAATGTAAACGACAGAAGAAGCGATCGAAATGTGTATTTCCTGGTTATTCGACAAAGGCTCCTCAAAGTACACGCCCCTGACACATTCCTACCGTTATAGAATATCACGAGTTCCCCGCGCCACCAGTTAAACGGTAACACCGTAACAGGCTGCCACTCTGCGCGGCGCCTTGGATGAGGGAGAAGTGGTTTGGAACATGATATGGCGTTAAATCACGGCAGCATTTAGCTGCATCTGAGCAGAGCAGCCAGCCTGCTCATCACAGAACTCACTGCTTGCCTTGCCGTGCTCAACAGGGGGCGGGCCAGCAGCTACAGAATCAGCCCTTCTCTAGCAGCTGAAATAGAGGGATATGAGGGATGTCTAAAATGTATAATCTGTTTGGTATTTTTGAGCACATCTTAGACATGTTTTTAATATATTTGTATATATCTGAGACCCATTATATCTGCCTAAAAATAACATGGTAGGAGATCTTTAATAACCTGATCAGAGCTGACGAAGTTCAGAAAGTGGAATCTCTAAACAGGTTAAAAACTGTAAGATACAGAAAGAGGAAAGAAAGAGCTCTGATTAATGTTAAACACAACGTATTTCTACTTCAATGACAAAGTAGTGAGCTGAACAGGGTTTTAATGTCAGAGATGATGTAGAAACAATCCACTGATAATCTGGAACTCTAACTTTGATCAGATGTTTAACAACTCCTTCATCTCCCTCACAGCTCATCAGTACTGACAGCATCTCCACTGACTCATGGAGCACAGGGTGAGTCTGTGGAAGCTCAACCTCTCTCCCTCACAGATCAGTATGAACTGCAGTCAGTGAACTGACCTCAGAGCCTCCAGTCTGCAGTTTGGACTCTTCAGTCCAGAACTCAGCAGCTCCACTCCTGAATCCTCCAGAGCGTTCCGACTCAGGTCCAGATCTCTCAGGTGGGAGGGGTCAGACTTCAGAGCTGAGGCCACGACTTCACAGTCAGTCTCTGAGAGTCCACAGTCAGTAAGTCTATAATAACACATATATTACAACATGTGTTAGTTTAAAAACAGAGGAAACATTTCATTAACTTACTGAATTTGATGGAACAACTTTTGTCATGTCATTTGATTTAATAATAGAGTTTTCTATATTTATTGTCAGCCTGTCAGACTTATTTTAAACTCTTAAGCATTGTGGTAAAAACAGATCTGATTTAATGTTGAAGAAACTGCAATGATATATTAATAACTTAATTCACTGATAACTGTAAACACTGCTGTATGGTGTGATCACATGCTGCTGTGAGGAAAAAGTCCTTCATTTGTTTGACACCTCCTTCACTCAAAGGAATATGAAGAGGAGAAAACTTTAAAATGTCACATTATTATAAATAAATAGAATAACTAGGATAATTTAATTTCACTCTCAAAGTATTTAAAACATCAAACATTTTAAAGTGTTTATTATAATAATGAAACTTCTGATCCACATTAATTTATAAAGTTAATCACATCTGGACTTACTTGGCCTTCCTGCAGTTCCTCACAGCTGGAATCAGTCTCCGTCGTCCCTCCTCTGATGTGTTGTACTTCTTCAGGTCCAACTCATCCAGAACCGCCTCTGACATCTGCAGCATGTAGGCCAGAGCAGAGCAGTGGATCTCAGAGAGTTCCTTCTCTGATCTGTTCTCTGACTTCAGGAACTCTGTGATCTCCTGATGAACTGAGAGGTCCTTCATCTCTGTCAGACAGTGGAAGATGTTGATGCTCCTCTCAGGAGAGATGTTATAACTGCTCATCTCCTTCAGGTTGCTGATGGCTCTCTGGATGGTTTCTGGTCTGTTGTCCTGTGCGACCCAGCCGGCCTCTGAAGAGTCTCTCGATGATTGTTGGACGCTTGCCTGTGCGACCCAGCAGGCCTCCTAACACTCTCTGGTTGGACTCCAGAGAGAGGCCGTGGAGGAAGCGGACAAACAGGTCCAGGTGGCCATTTTTACTTCTGAGGGATTTCTCCATGGCTCCTTTTAGGAAGACATCCAGGGATGGGTAATCCTGATCTCTGTTATACCTGTTGCTATAGTCTCCCTGCAGGAAGTCCTCCAGTACCGCTGTGTCTCTGTTGGTGTAACAGTGGAACATGTAGACTGCAGCCAGGAACTCCTGAATGCTCAGATGAACAAAGCAGTAGACTGTTTTCTGAAAGATCACACTCTCTCTTTTGAAGATCTGTGTACAAACTCCTGAGTGCACCAAGGCCTCGGTGACACCAAGACCACAGCGCTGCAGGTCTTCTTGGTAGAACATGATGTCTCCTTTCTCCAGATGTTCAAACGCCAGCCTCCCCAGCTTCAGAAGAAGCTCCCTGTCAGCCTTCGTCAGCTGCTGTGGACTCGTCTCATGTCCCTCTTCATACTTCTGCTTCTTCCTCTTGGTCTGGACCAGCAGGAAGTGTGCGTACATGTCAGTGAGGGTCTGGGGCAGCTCTCCTCTCTGGTCTGTAGTCAACATGTGGTCCAGAACTGCAGCAGTGATCCAGCAGAAGACTGGGATCAGACACATGATGTGGAGGCTCCTGGAGCTCTTGATGTGAGAGATGATTCTGCTGGACAGGTCTTCATCACTCCATCTCCTCCTGAAGTACTCCTCCTTCTGGGCGTCAGTGAAGCCTCGTACTTCTGTCACCCTGTCCACACACTCAGGAGGGATCTGATTGGCCGCTGCAGGTCTGGAAGTTATCCAGACGAGAGCCGAGGGAAGCAGCTTCCCCCTGATGAGGTTTGTCAGCAGCACGTTGACTGAGGACTGCTGAGAGACATCAGACACAACCTCACTGTTTCTGAAGTCCAGAGAAAGTCTGCTTTCATCCAGGCCGTCAAAGATGAACAGCACTTTGCAGACAGCCAGCTGCTCTGCTGTGACCTTCTGTAAGGTTGGATGGAAAACATGGAGCAGCCTGAGAAGACTGTACTGCTCACCTTTGATCAGGTTCAGCTCCCTGAAGGAGAGCGGGATCACCAGACTGACATCTTGGTTCCCCAAACCCTCGGCCCAGTCCAGAGTGAACTTCTGCACTGAGAAGGTTTTTCCAACTCCAGCGACTCCGTTGGTCAGGACCGCTCTGATGGGAGTCTGTTGGTCAGGTGAGGCTTTAAAGATGTCCTGGCACTTGATTGGAGTGTCATGGAGGGTCTTCTTCTTGGAAGCTGTCTCCAGCTGCCTCACCTCATGTTGGGTATTAACCTCTTCACTCTGGCCTTGTGTGATGTAGAGCTCAGTGAAGATCCTGTTGAGGAGGGTTTCACTTTGATCAGTTCCTTCAGTCACACGTTCACATCTCCTCCTCAGACTGAGCCTATGTTCATCTAGAACCTCCTGCAGACCACGTTCTGCTGGAAGAGAAGGAAACATGAGAGAATCAGGAAAATGCTTTTGAGAATCTGATGATGAAAATAAAATTAAAAAACAGTCAGGGTTTTAAATGTCATGATTTTTATAAAACATTTTTATGTCTATACTTTACAACACGACACTAAATAAAATGTTATAACCAGGGGTGCACATAACTTTTTTGCCCTGGTTCTCAAAGGAGCACCTGGAGATGTTGCTTGGTGCTCATCCTTAAAATGAAATAAACTGTAACTTTTTAGGGGGTCTTGACTTTATTTGCCAGACACACGGCACTGAACACACATGCAGAGGTGAACACAGAACACACATGCAGAGTGAACACAGAACACACATGCAGAGGTGAACACTGAACACACATGCAGAGGTGAACACTGAACACACATGCAGAGGTGAACACAGACACACATGCAGAGGTGAACACAGAACACACATGCAGAGGTGAACACAGACACACATGCAGAGGTGAACACAGAACACACATGCAGAGGTGAACACAGAACACACACGGAGGTGAACACAGAACACACATGTAGAGGTGAACACAGAACACGCATGCAGAGGTGAACACAGAACACACTGAGGTGAACACAGAACACACATGCAGAGGTGAACACAGAACACACATGCAGAGGTGAACACAGAACACACATGCAGAGGTGAACACAGAACACACATGCAGAGGTGAACACTGAACACACATGCAGAGGTGAACACAGAACACACATGCAGAGGTGAACACAGAACACACATGCAGAGGTGAACACTGAACACACATGCAGAGGTGAACACAGAACACACATGCAGAGGTGAACACAGAACACGCATGCAGAGGTGAACACAGAACACACATGCAGAGGTGAACACAGAACACACATGCAGAGGTGAACACAGAACCACACATGCAGAGGTGAACACAGAACACACATGCAGAGGTGAACACAGAACACACATGCAGAGGTGAACACTGAACACACATGCAGAGGTGAACACAGAACACCATGCAGAGGTGAACACAGAACACACATGCAGAGGTGAACACAGAACACACATGCAGAGGTGAACACAGAACACACATGCAGAGGTGAACACAGAACACACATGCAGAGGTGAACACAGAACACACATGCAGAGGTGAACACAGAACACGCATGCAGAGGTGAACACAGAACACACATGCAGAGGTGAACACAGAACACACATGCAGAGGTGAACACAGAACACACATGCAGAGGTGAACACAGAACACACATGCAGAGGTGAACACAGAACACACATGCAGAGGTGAACACAAGACAACATTAGCACGACCAGTAATCCTACAAGCTGTCATCACTACCCTCCTGACTGTTCTCCTCACTGTCTTCCTCTCTGTCAGACATGGTAGCTGATGATGTAGGCCTACTACTTTCTCTCTGGTTGAGTCTGTGATTAGCTGCTTGCATCCACAAGTCAACAGCTGGGTTTGGGTCGAAAGTCTCTGTTGTCATCTTAGACAAGTGGATGTGATCAAATAAGTATGTGAACATAACCAATAACCTACCATAGCCAATAACAAATGAATGTAACTTATTTTATTTATGTTGTTCATATCTTATTTTACCTTAACATTTATTTAATTATGCATTTTTTTATCTCTCCAGTTTTAAAGGATATGTTTGGTTACTGTCCTATAGTATACATTGTAATGATTTCAAACCTGTTTATCCCAATAATTATAAAGGAGTGCCTTGGAAATATGTGTTTACATAAATTGTGACCAAACCGTTTGAACTTAGACTAAAGTGAACTATCTAAACACTCAAGAGTCCTTT